CTCTGGAATCCCCACTCCTGCCCCCCCAGCCCCTTCCCCCTGCTTTCCTGGAAGCCCTCCCCCCACCCCAGCCAATCTGTCTCCTTTCCCCTTCTGAGCTCCCACCCCTGGTTGGGGGTGGGGGGGGGGATGTCTTTCTGGCAAAAGCTTGCCCCAAATCGCTCTCCTGGCATTTCTAATTAAAGGCGAGTGGGTGGGCAGGGAGGGAGGGTGGCGGGGCAGTGGGGAGTAGGGAGGGGAAGCCGGGCAGAGAAGCTGTGAGAACAGGATTCCCCGAGCTGCCCAGCCCTGGCGGCCCAGCCCTGCCGGCTGGGTTCCTGGGAGCGGCAGGAGGCCGCAGGCCTGCGTGTGGCCTTGTGTGAGGTGTCTGTGCCGTGGTGGGGAGTGTGGCCCGGCCCACACGTGTGGCTGGCTGGTCACCACGGGGGCCGCATGTAGCCGGGAGTCTGTGCGTGCCTGGGGTGAGCCGGGGCTTGTGTCTCAGGGCCGTTGTCAGGGGGACACCTGATGAGCCAGCTGGGCAGAGGCCACACTCACACGTGTGTGTGCGCACGCCGCGTGTGCCCGTGGGAGTGCCAGAGAGCCAGCACCTGAATGGCCGGCGGCCCACAAAGAGCGCGCGTGGCCCCTGTGACACCCGGGCCCAGGTCTCCCGACCAGCTGGGTGGCCCCGGCCAGGCACAGCTCTCTGGGTCTCAGCCCCACAGTGACTGACCTCCAGCCCCGGCTGCACCCCACAACACAGCAGCAGGGCTCCCGGGAGAGGGGAGCTCAGCCATGGGCCCAGAGGGTGGGGGGCCAGGGGCTGGGCGAGCACCACCTCTGTCGGGGGGGCGGGGGTCTCTCGGTGCCCCCTCTGCCGCGGTCACACCGGCCTGCTGTGGGCGTGAGGAGGCACAGTCCAGGGAAGGGGGTGCTGGCGGGTCACGCGGAGACGGCCAGGGACCTGCAGGGAGGCTGCGCAGTGCTGGCCAGCACAGGTGACAGGCGACAGCCTCTGCTCGGAACACTTAATCGCCGCCCAATTATCGCCCCAGAAGCCCTCAGCAAACCCCCGCACTGGGGCCCTGGGCTCCATTCTTCGCTGCTGGCTCCCCGCTGCCGCGAGGGGGGTGGGAGGGGGGGGGTCTGCCCTGCCCTGCTCCGCGGTGCCCCTCTCCCCCTCAAGCAGGGGTGAAGGCACAGAGTGAGGGCCTCCAGCCCTGGGCCTCACCCGGAGCAGGACCGCTCGGGGCTGCGGGTTGGGGAGAGGGAGGGGGGAGGGGTAAGCTGCACAGGGAGGGAGGGAGGGCCTGGGGAACCCCACCCCCACCGCCGGACCCAAGGTGGCCAGCTGCTCCTTGAACCTACTTTAGAAGGAGGGCTCCGTGGGGCAGGGGGGTCTGCCCAACACTGGATCCAGGCGGCAACACCCCCCACCCCGCCCCCCATTCAGTCCCCTCTGGGGTCCCGTCTTCCACTGGGGCTCGAGGCTCCCAGACCCCGGGTGCTGGTCTGTGATGCTAAGATGCCTATTTCGAGGTGAGGTCTCCCTCCCAAAGTCACGGCCTCGGGGAGCCATATCCCCCACTGCACCCCAAGCAGAGCCTGTGGCCTCCGCTGGACCTGCCTTCCTCTGGCTGCTCTGTGACCCAGTCCTCTCCTCTAGGGACCCCTGAGTGCAGGTCCCCTGCCCCCCGCTGTGCTGGCCTGGCGGGTAATCCTCATCGAGGCGCCAGGCTGCCTGTGCCCCGGGGACTCACAGGCCTCAGGCTTTCCCGTGTTTGCACCGGGCCCTCCCAGCTGATCTCCTGGGGCCACAGCCCTTAACACCACTTAGCACCCAGGCTGTGAGCACAGGCTCCTTTGGGACACTCCTGCGCCCGCTCTCACTCCAGCCGCCAGCTCTGTGGCCCCCTCCTTGTGCAGGAGAAAGGGGGGGCTGGGCTGCCTGGGGTCCCCTGGCCCTTCCCGCCCAGCCTTGGCCTGTGGTCCCTCCTGGCTCGCGTGGCCTCATTAACTTGCCGCCACAGCCACAGCCGGTGGAGCCTGGAGGGAAGGGCGAGGCCCATCCTGGGTCCCCTGGGCCCTCTGGCGGCCCAGCGCCTCCATCATCTCCTCGGGAGGGGGCGCTCGGCCTCACTGCTTCCTTGCTTCCGAGGCAGCACTGGGGCGGCTGCACAGGCCCCAGCGATGCGGGGCGGCATGGCGGGGGGTGGGGGGAAGCAGCTGGAAGAAAGGCCTGGGGTCTGAGCCCAACACCTGGGCCCTGCCCTGCCCCTACCCAGCGGCCCTCCCCTGGGGGCCTGTTGCCCTGGAGCGGGGCGCAGGGAGCAGGGGCACAGAGGAGGCCTGGAGAGGCAGGGGTGGGGGGGGCCGACACAACGTGTTAGAGGTGAGATTGGGCCAAGGTCAAAGAGGAAGAAAGGGTGGTGGGTGGAGGGGCAGAGAGCTGGGGGTGCCAGGATAGCGGAAGAGACAAGGGCTCCGTTTCACTTCTCAAGACTTTCTTGCCCTGTTTTCACGGAGGTTTCAAGAGGTGGGGGGACCTGCTAATGAGAGTGGGGGGGGTCCCTCAGGCACACCTGCCTGATGCACCTGCCACAGCCAGAGCAGCCTCCGAGAGACCCCGGGAGGCCAGGGCAGCTGGGGGCAGGGGTGTCGGGAGACCCCGCGGTGCAGGCACGCGTCCTGTTGAGAGACCCGAGCTGGGGGGCTGAGCGCTGGCTTGGGGGGGGGGGTTGCCCACGGGAGGCAGAGGTATGTGAGCGAGCACTCAGAGCCCAGGGAACATTTTCCTTCCGATCCTCCCCTTCCAAACTTCCTCTTCCCTGCGGTTTGGCAGGGTGTGTGTGCTGCGTCCTGTCCCTGGAACAGGCAGCCTGTTCATTCTGGGCCCCCACACACCAGACCCTCTCCCCCCTCCCTCCTTCCTGCCTCCTGCCTCGCGCCTCCCTCCCCATCCAGCCTCCAAGGAAAGTTTTGTATTTTTCCAAGATGCTGGCACCGAGGTGCCTCAGCCAGCCGCACCTCGGGTCCTGCAGGCATCCCCTCCGGGCCGGGAGGTCAGGCCCCAGAGCCCGAGGCCCGCCTCACCACCGCCCTCCAGAACGGGGAAGATGAGGCCCAGAGAGGGCCAGGGACTTGTCCGAGCTCCACAGCGAGGGAGGCAGAGCCAGGGCACCGTGGTGAGGGCGTGCGAGGACAGGCTGCAGGCTCCTGGAGGCGTCTGCGAGCTCAGTCTGCGCCCTGTGCAACCGCGGGTAAGTCCTCTGAAGTCCTCCCGGCCCTGCCCCTTCCTGGCATCAGTACTCTCCCCTGCAAAGAACCTTTGCCCTTCCAGCTATGGGGCGAGTCAGTAATCCATTCAGAACAGTTCCTGAGCCCGACAAGGGAGGTGCCAAGCAAGGTGGGGCACAGGAGGTGCAGATTGCCCCTAAAATGGGGTGTTGTCACGACCCCCATAGGCCCCGGAGGACACGGGCTGCGTGTGGCCCGTGCGAACTGCAGGCACCCGGAGGTCATGACTCTGCCCTTCAAGGAGCAGCCCATGGCCTCCAGGGAGTCCGGCTGGCGCCCCACTGTGACCCACGACAGGACAGGAGGGAGGCCATTGTGGCATCGAGGGTGGGGGGTCCTCGGTGTCCCCACTCCAGGAGGCAGGTGTGCGGGGCGGGAGCCCCGGACAGGGAGCTGGGCCCGGGACACGCTCCATGCACGCTTCCCACCGTGGGGCCACCCACGCGGTGTCTGGATCTAAAATGTCCCCTCGGCCCGGCAGGTGCCTCTGGCTGGGTCTGAGATTCCACGGGCCACCTGCCTCCTCGCACCACTTCTCCTGGGGGCGCCATGTGGCTTCCTGCGCATCACTCAACCCCTCTGGCCCCAGCGGTGTCCTTGTCACACAACAGGCAGACTGTACTAAACGGTGGCCGAGGTTCTCGGGCGGCTCGGAGGCTGACGGCAATGGTGGGTGGCAGGGAGGAGGCTGGACCTGTGGCCAGTCTGTCCCCTCCACCGGAGTGCCCCATCCAGCCGAGCGCACATCACCCCCGGTTCAAATGATAGAGGCCTCTCGGGTTTTAAAACCTAAGCATAAAAACTCATCATGGTTTTACCTGTTTTCTACTTCTGAGCCCACTGTCACCACCTCCAGGAAGTCTTCCCGGCCTCTTAGCGCTGTGTTAATGGAGTCTTTTGTGACCTTGCCCCGCCTTGTTCATGCCCGCCTCAGAGCCCCCGAGCACAATGTCGTCCTCGAGGTGTGTCAGTTGAATGTGTGTGTGCGTGTGTGTGCGCGTGCACATTAGTGTGCGGCGTGTAAGTGTGTATGTGTGTGCGACTGCACCTTCCTGGTCTTCTGTCCAACGAACCCATGTTCTTGCTCGCTGACTGCATCAGGCTCTCAGCTTGCTCTGGGGACATGGGTGGACGAGACCCACCTGGGTCCCACCCTGAGGAGACTCCAGTCAAGTTCCCCAGCACCCCAGATGTTTTGGGGCCAGCAGCCCAGAGGCGCCCTGAAGGGTGGGGAGAGCCGGAGGGTGAGCAGGGGTGGGCCGGGTACAGGTGTGCCGGCAGGGCAGGGGGGAGCAGGGGGCCCTGCTGGATTCTGTCCCTCTCCAGGGGCAGAGCTGGAGGGGAGCGGGACTAGACGGGCCGTGGGTGAAGGTGGGGACCAAGGCCGCCGACCTGAGTCTGTGGCCCGCAGGGGGGACGTTAGGCCGAGCAGGGGCAGGTGCTGGAGAGCCAAGCTATGGGTGGGCAGGGCCTGTTTGAGGGCTGTTAGGAGGGTCTCAGGGATGGGGAGAGCCAGGGGCCCGGTGTCCTGGCAGTCCGGGGTGGAAGCCCTGTGGGGACTCGGCAGGAGCAGCTGGGGGCCCAGCCGTGGGGGTTGGAGCCCGCGGCCGCCCCCTCCTCTCTGCCCTACTGGGCCCCCAGCCAGGCTGTGCCTCCCGCGCCGCCCCCGTGGACGCCCAGGGGACTCAGACCGGATCATGCGGCAGGAGTCCCGAGCGTGGCCGGCCCAGCCAGGATGGGGGGTGTGCTGCCAGCTGGCCCTGGCCAGATGCCCCCGGAGCTGGGGGTTCAGGATGGCCAGGGAGGGGGTGGTGGCCAACTTTCCTGCCGTTCCCTGCGTCTCCATTTAGATCTCTCCCCAGCACAGAGCGCCGGCCTCCAAGCACACTTCCGGAGCCATAGAAGGAGACGGGCTGAGAATAGCTCAGCGTGACGCAGCGAGGAGCTTCCCCACGCAGGCAGGCTCCGCGCCACAGAGGGGCCGCCCTGGAGGGACCCCTGCCCGGCGCCACCCCCCTGCCGGAAACGGGGCAGTGGCTTGGGGTCCCCTTCTGCCTTCTGTCTGCGAGCTACTCCCTCTTCTTCCTCGCGGCTGGGGCCTGGGCCCCTGCCCTCCACAGCTGTCACCTCCGCCCAGGCACACCTTGTCCAGGTGAGGCCTCTCTCCGGGGGTCCTGACCTGGATGTCCCCCAGCAGCCGGCCTGGCCACCCTGCTCGGCTGTAGGCCCCACTGCTGCCCCACGCTGGCGCCTTCCCCCGTTCCCGCTTCGTGGGCGTGGGCCCCTCCCCGTCTGCTGCAGGCCTGTGGGGTGCCAGGCGTGGGCCGTGCTGATCCTTGGCCTTCGGGGGCCCAGTGTCTGCCGGGCCAAAGCCTCCTGGGCTCCCAGATGTCAACTTGTGTCCCCAGCTGCGAGGGGCTGCCGCACAGGGGTGCCTCGACGGCACCTGTCTCTCGGCCCCAGGCCGTGCTCTGCCGTAGCTGTCTTGCAGCTCCTACTAACTTTGAGCAAAAGTCCCTTATTTCCATCTGGCTGTGGCCCCCACCAATTATGTGGCCAGCCCCACCCGCCATCCTGGGGTTGGGGGTCCACTGTTCTGTAATCTCTCTGGAAAGATGGTCGGCAAAGATCACGTGGGAGAAGGGGACCCACGCCACACGCTGAGCGTCTCACGAAGACTTGGGATGGCTGGCGGTGTGGGGTGGGGCCCCGGGGACCCTGCCGGGGAGCCAGCGGCCCCCTTATTACTGTCGTTGCCCATCTGTCACTGTGCAGGTGGACTGAGCAACCCCAGATGCCCTCTGAGCCTCGGCCTCCTTAGCGGATGGGGGTGTCACCCTGCTCATGGTGGTGACCGACCCCAAGGTGGGTCAGGACACCTGGCCGGCACGTCTGGTTCACAACCCACAGCCCTGATCTACGTTCTTGGTCTTAAGCTCCATGTCCGGGACAGGTGCCTGAGCGGGGGGGGGGGGGGGGGGGAGGGGGGGAGCAACCTCTGGAGCCACCCCTAGGGGCCGGGGGCCCCCCCCCACGGGGGGGGGGGGGGGGGGGCTCTGAGGTGGGAGATGACCCCTCTAACGTCTGCGGGCACCGTGCCCCCTCCTGGCTTCGGGCCACCTGTCTGTTCGCTGCAGGCCACTGTGGACTGCGGAGCTTGATTGGGAAGGCCGGGTGGGGCCAGCGGGCTTCTCCCACCCTTGCCGGACAGGACCCGGCCTCTGTCCCTTCCTTCCTCTCCCTGGCCGAGCTCCAGGCTGCCGTCCAGTGTCCCGGGAGTCAGGAAATGTCCAAGGTTGCTGAGAAACTGGTGCACAGCACAGACCAAGATGGATGTCCACACCCCCAACCGCTGCCCGAGTCTCTTCCCCTTCATGGGTTCGTTTAGATCTCTCCCCAGCACAGAGCGCCGGCCCGCAGGCACACTTGCGGAGCCCTGGCCAGAGTGGGGGTGTTGGAAGGGCAGCATTTCAGAGGGGGGGGGGCCGGCCCCTAAGACAAGGGCCAGGGCGCGGAGGGCAAGCTGCCTGCGGGCTCAGGCTGGGTTGGGCCACAGAGTGAGGAAGGGGCGGAGCCAGCCATCGGGGGCGGGGTCAGCGCCCCCTGAAAACCGCCCTGTGGGCAGGGGTCCCCCTGGGAGGTGCTGTGCTTGTCCCTTACCTGGGGGTGGGGAGGCTCTGGGGCCTTGAGTGGAGGCAGGGCGGGTTCCAGGGTCTTCCCACGCAGCCCACTCTCCCAGCCCCACGGCCGCCCCTGCCCTCTGCTCCGTCCCCCTCTGTCCCTGACCCGGGCCGCCTGCATCCAAGGCCCATCCAAGTCCTGGGCGCCACCTGCCGGCTGCGTGCCTGCCTAGCACGCTCTCTCGCCTCCCCTCCTCCCCTCCTCCCCTCTCCCCACCATGCCCTCTCCCTCTGCTGCGCTCCAGTTTCCCGGGCTGCAGGCCTGATGCCTACTGGCCTGACTCCTCAGACCTCCCCGCAGAGGGCAGTCACCGTTACCACTTCCCTCGGTCCACCCCAGAAGGAGACCAGGCCCTCCCTGTGGGGGCTGGGGCTGGGGCCAAACCACTAGGCGAGAGAAGCAGCAGGCCAGGAGGAGGACCCTGGCTGTGGCCCTGGGGGCTGTTGTCTGACCCCCAACCCTGGAGGTCAGGGTGAGAATGGAGGGCCCCTTGGGGATGCCCCCCGCCTACCATAGCTTCAGCTCACCGCACCCACACCCATAAACGTGCTCGCTCTGAGCTGGGAAACAGGGGCCCTTCTGCCCGGCAGGCCCCCAGATCCACTCCTGCAAGGGCCCGGAACACCCCCTCCCTACTTTACTGCCAAAACCTCCGCTGACGCCACAGCCTCCAGGGCCTGCTCTTTTGGCCTCCTCCTGCCCAGGGGTGATGGTGGGGCACACTGAGGTCATGGGAGGTATAAACCAGGCCCTTGCCCCACCTCCACTGAGGGATATTCACCCACTGACCCCAGAACCCTCGGGCTATCCCCAGGGCCCTGTGGGTCCCCCACAGGTGGGGCTTGGAGTCTGGGCTCCTTTAGACCTGGGCTGGGCAGGGTCTGGGAATCCCGGGAACCTAGGGACACCCCCGGACACTGGCCTCAGCCGTGGGAAGTCAGATTTCTGTGCCTGAGGCAGACAGAATGACACTGGAGACCAGGCAGACAAGGGGTTCCCCTCCCTAGGCGCCACCCAGCCCACCGGCCCCAGCCCACGGACCCCACCCAGGCCAGAGACAGCCGAGGTGGGCCCATCACCGGAGCAGAGGCCTCAACGGAGGGATTTGTGGCACACGGCCCCGTTTCCATAGCAGGAGCTGCTCGGGGAGCCGCCAGTCCCCTGCACGCCCCAGCTGGAAACGAGCCCTCGATTTATAGCCTAAGCGCCACACAATGAAACCACGTTCCCTGAACCGAGTGGATGCTGCCTTTTTCCCCATAAAAATAAAATCTCGTGACAGGAGCCCACAAGGGGCTCAGTGTCAAGTTGAGAGTGAGCCCTGAGAGGCAGGAGGAGGCGTCTGGAGGGCCGTCCCATAGACCTGCAGGCTCAGACTGCCTGTGCTAGGAACAGTGTGGCCGTGACCCGATCCCACCCTCAGTAAGAGGCGCTCCCACAAGACCCACTGCCACTGGGGAGAGGCCCAGGGCCATGCCACAGCCTCCCTGGAGGACAAACGTAAGAGAATGAGAGTGACTTCCCCTGCCAGCCCACATCTGGGGCAGGAGGTTGGGCGGCAGGCAGTTAAACCTGTGGACGGCTGTCTAAGCCGGTCCTGGAAAAAGTTCTCAATCCACTCAGAGCCTGGTACCACCATTATCACCCCTATCGTCACCCATGGCCTTCACCTGGCCAACGTCTTCATCACTCACACCAAAACCAAGTGCCGGTTATCAGTACCACCGTCACCAATTCCAGCACTGACACCAACAACGTCATCTCCTCCTTCACCACATCACCCTGGACACCACAATGATTACCATCATCACCATCACCACCACCATCATCATAATCACTATTATCACCATCACCATCACCATAATCACCATCACTATTATCACCATCAACACCATTA